TCCTCCTTCCATTGAGGTAAGCACCATACTTCAACACTGTGCATTACCATCCCCTGTTTCGTTTCAAGGATGTGTTTGTCCTGAGTACTCTCTTCCAAATTTGGTCACACAGAGGACTGTGTGATTTAAGTTTGGGGGAGGGCTCAGGAAGTGTGTGAACTGATGAGTCTTTTGTGTTCTTATCTTCATATTTTTGCATTTCATACTTGAGTCTGCATTCATCTAAGGCATAGAAAAAACCAAAAAAAATTTGAAAATTTTTCTGAAAATGTATTCCACAAAAACAGAGTGTTCATTTAGTTGCATCACATTTAGGATTGAGTCTAGTATGTTTCATATAGGATTGTTGCATATGCATAGGGGATTATGATGAGATAGCCTTGTAAGCATGTTGGTTCAGTAGATAGACTCAATGCCCTCGTTGCTAGTTGTCTGATGCGTAGTCAATGAAATTGAAGTAAAACTGCACCATGTCTTGAATGCTCTACTCGATCACACTGTCATGATTTGATACCATTCCCTATCAATTTGAACTTGAACCTGATTTACAATTATCATGTCTTAGCATCAAATTTAAACTCATGGATACCATATACATACTTGGGTTTTCTTTCAACTTTTCACCACCCTTGCTAACCCAAGTAGCTGCTTCCACCATAGAAGCAGTTTCCCTAGCCCTTAACCAAAACTTTCTTTTAAGCCCTGTAATATCTCGTGTGTGATTGTGAGGCCTGTTTCAGGATTGAGCTTGGTAGAAAGTTTTAGGTTTGAACCGACAAGAATAGTGTCTCATGTAGTTCTAGTCCATGTTTTCTGGACTAGATAGGACTAGGTGGGAGTCTATTTTTGGGTGGGGATCGAGTATATGAGTAAAATAAGGTAAAGGTTGATGTTTTTAGGAGAAGGAAGTTGAGAAACAAGTTAGTCTAGTAATGGGTTTTGAGGAACTAAAATTCGAATAGATAGGCTCTGTAACAAAAGAAAGCAAAAGTCTAGAAAAGTCTTTATCATAAGAAGATAACAAGAGCCATAGTTGTCAAAGAAAACCAAAACCCACTAGATCCATCAAGTAAAAGAAAACTTCTCCTTAGAACAGAGTCAGAGAAAAAGAAAGAGTGATTTGATCAAAGATAAAAATGAGAAAAAAATGCCTTGAGTGCAAAGGGTAGAACTAGGATCATCTTCTGGGCTTGAGGGTAGTACCATCTGCTGGTGTAAACACGGTTTATGTTATTGGGTAGATGAGATACTGTTGTTGTATGCATAAGTTAGATCTTACCTATAGCATTCTCCTAAAGCTCAGTCCAATTCTTTTGAGAGTCCCCTGTTACTAAACTTGAACCACTTTAAAGGGACTGTCTTTATCTCCTAACCTTCACCTTAAGCCAAATGAGTTCATTGATGGTGCGTTGCTTGATTCACGTTCTGATACTAATGAATGTTAAAGGGATTGGTCGATTTGAAAGCATTTGTAGATCGAGTATAAGAGTCGGATTGAATTATAACAAGGCATGGCTAACGTTTTTGAGTAGAGATCGATCATATCGCATCCTAGAACTATCAACTTGGACCTTGATTTTATCTATTCTATCTGATTCTTTGGTTCTGAATCCCCACCTTCAAACCTCGGCTTCATCTTATGTTTACTTGTTTGCTTGAGGGCAAGCAAAGACTAAGTTTGAGGGAGTTGATATGTCTATAATTTGCATGTTTTACACATCCAATTATAACCATTTTGAGTCTAGTTTCATTCATCTTTCATAGCATTCATCATCATTTCTCACAATTTGCATGTTTAAGTGTGTCTAGCATTAGTCTTGCATGCATTTTGCATTCTGGAGTTGTTTCAGGTGCTTCGGAGCTATTGGTGTTCAGAAAGAGCAAAAACAGAGCTGAAAGTCACATTTGGACCATTCTACTCGATCACCAGTAGCAGAGAGGGAAGCAGTCAGCTCAGCAGTCCATCCAGACTGTTCTACTCGATCGCAGAGGAAGAGGAGCAGTCCATCCTGACAGTCTACCCACATACTTGATCGCAGGGTTGAAGAAGCAGTCCAGATCAGGCCATCAACCAACCTACTCGATCACAGGAGAGAAGAAGCAGTCCAGATCCTGCCACCAACCATCCTACTCGATCACCACCTCGACCCTCTGATCAATCCGCACTCAACCAGACAACCTGAGCATAGGAAAGAGAAGAGGAGAGAAGGAACCACTTGATCGCGGCTTCAATTCACGCTCGACCATGAAGCCCACTTTGAGCCCATATACTCGACCTCCACGGTCCATGGGCCTGTTAAGCGGACTCGAAGCCCACTTACTTATCCTTGTCGCTTTTACTATAAATAAGTCTCTAAGGGTTTCGCCTGAGACATTCACTCTTAATTGACGTTTTAGTCTCGAACCCTAGTATTGTTTTAGTAGCCGCTTTTGCTTCTGCAACTTTGTATTTTTTCGTTTTTCTAAGTTATTGAGATTCTGCTTTCATTCTCTTGTTGATTTCTGTTTCATTACCTTTAATCTTTGAGCCTTTTACTCTATCACATCCTCCTTCTGCCAGTGAGCCTTGTGATAGAGTATAGCAATCCATTTCTACAAATTTACTATATTCTGCATCAATCACTAGGACTGTTAGAAAACAACCAATTCCTGCTTGGCTTGACTTAATAATTTCTGATCATATCTCATTTGTTTGCATCACACCTGATTAGATTGACACCTAAAATACTACAACGACATGATAGTGCTTTAGGATTAATTGATCTTAAAAACCTATTATCATGTACTTTATACCCGACTTAAAGAGCAATATTATAAGTCTTGGTCAAGCCACTGAATCAGGTTGTGACATAAGATTGAAAGGAGGATACCTAACAATGCTTGATCAGGAAGGGAAACTACTAGTCAAGGCAGAAAGGTCCAAAAACAGACTATACAAAGTGAGGATGGGATTGAAAAACAGAGCAAGCTTGTATTTGACAACCATAAGCGATTCAGATCGATGGCATGCAAGGATGGGACACATAAATCTTGTGACTTTGAAAAACATGTTCAACAGAGAACTTGTTCAAGGAGCTCCATCGTTTATAGTTGAAAAAGAAGTTTGTAGCTCCTGCTTACTTGGTAAACAAACCAGACAAATGTTTCCACAAGAAACAAACTACAAAGCAACCAAGAAACTAGAGCTAATTCATGGAGATCTCTGCGGGCCAATAACACCAAGTACAAACGCTGGGAACAGGTATATATTCGTGCTCATTGATGATTTTTCTCGTTACATGTGGACCATTCTGCTAAAGGAAAAGGGAGATGCATTTCAGAAGTTCCAAAACTTGAAGACTTTGGTAGAAAAGGAATCTGATTCAAAGATACAGACATTTAGAACAGATAGAGGTGGAGAGTTTGTATCCTCAGAGTTTAATTCTTTTTGTGAAGAATCAGACATCAAAAGACACCTCACTGCTCCATACACTCCGCAACAGAATGGAGTTGTAGAGAGACGCAACAGGACCTTAATGGAGATGACAAGAAGTGTTTTGAAACATATGCATATGCCAAATTACTTGTGGGGAGAGGCTATCAGACATTCTACCTATCTCTTGAACATGATCACTACAAGAGCCCTAAAGGACATGACTCCCTATGAATGCTTTCGGGGAAAAAGGCCAACAGTTGAACACATCAGGATCTTTGGTTGTATTGCTTACGCAAAAATAGACAAACCACATTTGAAAAAACTTGATGACAGATCTAGGATGTTGGTTCACTTGGGAACAGAACCAGGATCTAAAGTTTACCGTCTACTTGATCCGCAAGCACAAAGAATAATGGTAAGCCGAGATGTTGTATTTGATGAAGCTAAAGGATGGAACTGGAAGCATGACAACTCGGTAAGAGATGGAGATGGAAGTTTCTATATCACATTTCATGATTATGGGAATCATTCAAGAAAATGAGGAATTTTCAACCTTCTCTTTATCTTTAATTCCTCATAGTGCAAATGCAAAAGCGGATAATTTAGCACGAAAAGTTCGTACCGAACCGCATCATATCACTTATGTAAACAACATTCCCCACGAATGGTTTTTTTGAATTTTAGTTAAAAGCTGTTGACAAACAAAAGAAAGATTTCCTTATCTCTAAAAATCATACCAAGAACCGATTATTCGATTTAGTGGTGTTTTGTTAGCATTAAATCTTCATAACTAATTTCCTTATCTATAAAAATCTTACCAACGGATTATTAAAATTCAATTTTAATGCAATCAATAATGTCGTGATTTTATTTGTAGAGAATCTTACCAAAAGTAATTACAAAATGTCGAAAATAAAGGAAGATCCGAAATAAAATTTCCGAGTACAAAAATTAAACAAAACCTGACCCGATTAGATGGGCTATGCCACCCAAACCAACTGAGGGAAGTTGCGGAATACAATGAGACGTTCATCCTCCTTGCTCTGCAAGCCAACTCAAAGAAAAGTAAGGACGGAACATCATCTAATATAATTCATTCCAGGGGGGGTCATTATAACCACTTGATCGACATAATGGGTGGGAATATGGAGCAAATATGTATTTCAAAAATGTTAATATAGATTTGAGTTTCTCTCATCTTTAGGGCTCTCTTCATCTATGAGTCTATGATGACAACAGTTTCGATAGCCAGTGTAAACAAGATTCCGAACCGGCTATGGTTAGCCTTTTGCCTCCGGTGGAACAGATACCTCCGTCGAAGAATGCTCAGAAGGAGCAACAAGGATACGAGGTGCAGAAAGATGAAAAAGGCTCAAGAGAAAAATCATACTAAATGTTCAAATGCTCCACATCGAAAAGTTGCGACAGTTGTTAACTAGTATATAAGGTTAACCAACTCATTGCTCCAAATGACTAGACCATTCCTCCATATGAGCATATTTGTTAACGAGCTCATTGCTCCAAATGACAAACACAAAATGAAGTTTTGACCGGAGATGTATGGAGGAAAAACGCAATAAAGCTCTGCCCGATCAACCGATGACTTCACACAAAAATATCGACACAACAAAACTTACAATGACTTCACACATAAATAGCATTCCAGAAATACACCTTGTCACAAGTTAAAACATTGATTTAGCACTTTAATGACGTCAGGAACACTTTCATTTGTTTTCTGGTTTCACCTTGGAACAAAACTTAAGAACAGAGCTTCTGTCTGTTTCCCAAATAAGCTCCAGGATGATCGACTCTCCTATCTTCACATCATTAGCGTAGCAGAACTCTTTCCAACCTCCTGACAATCTCATTCTTTTACATTTTTCCTCAAACCACAGATTGGTAGACCACTTCACGCCATGTTTATCCAAAAAACTCATCTTCTTTGCCTTTATGATGTCATTCACCTTTGTGAAAGGTACTGGAAGAATCTGAGAAAGATTTAAACGAAGGAGACGAGGATGAAGTATCGATAAGACCTATATAAAGAAAATTAATGTCTTGGTGATGAAACTAACCAGTTTAGATTGTCCTACGTTGTAAGGTGTAGGAGTTACTCTCACAAATCGGTTTTGAGGTGGTAAAGAAGAAGCTTTCACGTGACGTGAGCTTCTCTCGTCTTGGTTGTTGTCTATTGCATTAGCTTCTTCATCTAGCTCTCTGTGGGATAAACGTAAACCCAGAGTTCCTCCCCTTTCGATCAGTTTGAAAGTGAAGAAACTTCCAGCTCTAAGTCCATTAGCATGACAGAAACTTCTCCATCCTCGTCTGATGTAAGTAGTTCCACATGATTTCTTTCGTTTCAAAGCTACAGTCCATGATCTACCCTTTCGTTGATCAGAATCATATCGCCACATCTTTTGTCTAGACCATTTGTCCTCACATAGGAAGATTCTGAAAATATATTACAATAAAACATGAGTTTGATCTTAATCAGACCCTAGTATAAGAGTTTCTTCTGAGTTAAAATTGTAGAATACCAGTGAGTCATAACGTAGATTCGAAGGCGTGACATTAGCAATGAAACAAGAGAGATCTAGTGAAGACTCTGCTTCTTTCTTCTTCCTTTGAATCTTCCCTGAAAAAGAAGATACTAAATCCAACTCGTATTATTAAACAGATTCTCTCTACTTAAAGAATCATATTCATCAATATCATTTAGAGAGACAAAAGAACAAAACTCACCGAGGTTGTTCTGGTTGTCTAGACAAGACACATATTGAATCTCATAACAACTAGGTCCCAACATTGTAACGTGGAAAGTCATGGATCTCTCTTGTCTGAAAACAATGATGTCGCCGATTCGAAGATCATGTGCGAGAGCAAACTCTGTCCAACCGTTGGTGAGTCTCTGGCCATCTATTTTCACTTTCCAGGTTTTCTTGGATGCGTCTGATCTTAACTCTGCCGTCTTATGCTCATGTCATCCTTCTATATTCTTAAAGAAGAAAGCCACAGGAATTGTCTGAATAACATGCAAAAACAAAAGCAGATCCATTATTCCCAATGAGCTTCTGAAAAAGACATAGACAGAGATAGAAGAAAGATAAAAAGATTTACCAAGTGGCTGTGAAAGCCAGGAAGAAGAGGCTTGAAGAAATGTTGATTCACCATTCTCAAAGCTTCTAAATCTCTCAGCACTAAAATCTAAAATCTCAAGGAGGAAAGAGGCGATTTGTTTTTTCTTTTTTCTAAGTAGAGACTGTTTGGTTTCCACTAGTGAACATTCCTTATAAGAGGAACTCGAGAACTTTAAAAAAATAAAACCACCGATTAATGATTGCTTTTGTATATAAAAATAAAACCATCAAACTCTTTTCTAGTTTACGTGTATTCATTATGCCCTTTCAATGCTTTTTTATTACTAACAATCTGTACCCATTAAAGTATTAAGTAGTTCTAGTAACTTCTTGACAATTAATTATAAATTTCTCCGTAAAGACTAGAAGTGAATACCTAAAACGTGTTTCCTGAGTCAGAAACAGATCCTATATAACAAGAAAAAAAAAAATACCTGAAGCTTATTTCCATCTCTTGGGTGGCTTAACTTTGGCTCCAAGGCATCAATAAGAGAAACACACATGACCCATTTCAATACCCTGCAATGTACAGTCTTTCAAATTTGTAGCCATGAAGGTGGCTTGGAACATCTTCTGCAGGTTGGGTTTCATATTGTTTTGGGACTTCTTGCAAAAGCCTTTGGCAACTTTTAAAAGTCATAAAAAACACATGACCATGTGATACAAAGAACAGAGCCGGATACAGCTTGGAGAGTTCATGAGATGGCAGTTTCCATACACATGCAAAAACACAAGAAAACTTAAATACGATTGCTCTCGTCTTCAACATATCACCCGCGCCACTAGATACACACTCCACAACAATGCGTAACAATGGATCGGACCCGCGGTCCACCGCAGGACAATATTGGTTTACATACGTTAATTTTAATATTGTGCGTGTTTTAAGTAGAGCGAATTGTGTAGTGTACTTATAAATATTCATAATAACTAATTGTAGAGAAAATGATAAATTGTTTATAATTAAACTCATCATATTAGTCATGATTTACAAAATGGAATTTTGTGTTTTAGAATTCTAAAATAAGACGATTCATGGGAATTAGAGCAGTCAAAATAGGTCAAAAACTGCAGGTCAAGCCCAAATCATCTCACTATAAGGCAGATTTGAGCAAAAATATTAAACACGCAAATAAGTGGGCAACATGGATTGATTCGCAGTGGGTCATAGATTTTAATCGGTTTTCGTCCACGGGTTGGCGGATCGGCCCGCAGGTTAGTATTTATTGATAAAAATATCATTTATTCAACATATGATAATATTTAATAAATGAAATTAAAAAACTTTTAATAAATGAAATTAAAATATTTATAAATTAATGATATATAAAACTATTTACTCTTAATTTTATTTATTTATTTATTTATTTTAGTAGTATTTTAAATAATATATATTGTTCGGAATATGCTTTTATAATTAGTTACCATACGTACAATTAGATTTTATTTGATTTCCATAAACATTTGATTCTAATTCAATTTTTCATTATAAATTCGATTTTATATTCCAATAAAATTTCAAAGATCAGATTTCAGAATTTTGGGTCAGTTTTCTGATTTTGACCCGACCCATTTTCATGTGTAATTATCTTTTAATAGTGAAAAGATTGATAAATTTTAAAAAGTCAATAAAGATGTATGTTCACACCATTTAGTTTCTAAAACGTCTAAGACCTTGAATGGGTAGTAGTTGCTAGCATGGTTTTTGGTTTTTAATTTTTAAAAACCATTTAATCATTCATTCAAGATTATGAGAAAATGGATTCCCTAATTTTTAGGGAATCTAGATTTTGACAGTTTTTGCAATTTTCTTAAGAAATCCTAAAAACCCATTTTTGTTAGTTTTTAAAATGTTTGCCGTGGATTCCAACTTTTTTTATTTTCCATTTATTTCTTTTTCTATTTTTTCTCTCTTTTGCAAAATCCAAAAACCGAAAATCAAAATCTATAAACCAAAATCCATTATCTAAAAACCACTCAAAAACCCCAAAACATTCATGGCCTAAGTTTCATATCTAGAAGATAAAATTGTTTAGCATAGAGATTTGAAAGTTTCCTACTTCTTATTAAGCTATGAGGAAAAAAAAAATCAATAAAGCTAAGGGTCAATGAATTATAAAACCACAGAGGAAACGATATTTAAAGATCTGGGAAGAGAAAGACATTAATTGAAAGCGTAACAAAATCTGAAATGTTAGATGACGAAAACACCCCTATTTTGCAGAGAGAAACGGCGCTGTCGTTTGCAAAATCTGGGCATTAAATGCGCGATAAACCTGATGCAAGGATTGTGTAAGATTCCGCCGGCGATATGGGGAAAATAAAGATTTACCAAAACAAAATCATTATGGCAGAGCAATATCTCGAGTTGCGGATAAAGGAAAGTTTTGAGTTCATCTATTTATTACCCCAACATCGACGATGCCTAGAAGAACAGAGATAAACACCATTAAAGCACCTTCAAACATTTTAGCAGTTAATGTGCCGGCGAACAGGGGAAAAGTTTACGGTCGAACCGGAGTGCATTTAAGGGAACGAAAGCATTGAAGAGGAAAAGGTAAAACTTGCCCTTCTCTAACTGATTATGTTCGAATTATGTGTTAATGCAAATGATAGTCGGTAACGGTTATTACTGGGTTTTGGCAGGTACAAAATGGCTATGATTGTGCGTCTGGTCAGAGGAGAGTGGAAAAAGGATGAAGACGGGTGCTACGAGCATGTGTCAGCGTTAGAGGGTTTTACCCTGGCGGTGCGATTGAGAGAAAAGGACGGGTATGAGCAAGCTGTTAACGCGGTAAAACAACGGCTAGGGCTCCGGGATGATGACGATGTAGTACTGAGCTATCAATGGCCGCAGTGGATGATGGGTCCGGAGTGGAAAAGAGCTAATCCGATATACATCATGGATGATGAGGACATGACTCTGTTCATGGCGATAAGAGCCGATCTAGAGGAAGTACATCTCCGTGTGAAGGGAGTGAAAGGAGGTAATCAGAGAAACGTAAATTCTTACACGAGCCACATGGATTTGGGAGGGCTGACTTCGGAGGAAATATCCGATAAGTACTGGAATAACGCAGAAACGAGAGCCGTATGGGATAGCGCGCTAACACGGTTGTTAACACGGACTGCGGGTGATACAAGCCACGATAAAGCCGGAGACCCAGAAGCGATGTTTGGAGTACAAGGAGGCTCAAGATCGATAAACACCGAAGGAGGGATAAGGATAGAGGAGCCAATAAACGCAACCCCAGTTAGAGCGTCTATACCGACGATACCCGTTAACTCTGGACAAAGACGGGCAACAGCTGCAGAGAAAGGTAAAGAACATGTTACCGATGGAACAATCAGTGGCATGCAAAACGGGCGGCAAGATAAAAGCAAACACCCAGCTGGACTTCAATCCACTGCTGACGTCGAGTTTGAAATGTTTAGAAGAAACTATGTTGCAGAAATGTGGAGGGATGTTTGTGCTACAGAAATGACGCTCGGTGGGCTACAAGGGGTGACACCACCGTCTAATCCGGGGCAAAAGATAGCAAGGGCGTTGGATTTTGGGCCAAGAGAGGAGGAACGTGAAGCTATTGAAGACGATGGTCTCCGCCTAACACTGGCAGGAAAGGGAATTGGAACTCATAAACCAACTATTTTAACGTTGTCATCAACTGATTCATCTTGCGGGACGCCTTCCACAGAATCAACAAGCATATCATTCTCAACGGAAGACCTAATGGATGATTCCATTGATATTAATTCGCCTACCGGGGTAATAGGTACGTTAGCGAGTAAAGCAAATGTCTTTGTCTATGACCGGTAACTATATTGATACAAACCTTTTATTTACAGATGGCCCAACGAGTGAGGAGTATCATACAGACCCAGATGGACCATTGTGTATATCGCCAGTTGTTCCAACAAGCATGACAAATTGGAGGGGTGTGGTTGAAGCTAATAAGAAGGCTGCATTGGAAAAAGGTTCGGGATCCAATGATGTTGTTCATAGGGGGGGCTCAGAAATGGTTGTTAGAGAGACACCAGTCCCGACGGTGTTGTATGACAGGGATGCACCTCCATACTTTGATGATCCGGGAGAAGAAGGTATGTGAAAAAACTGTTACCTAAATATTATACGATAAGTTAGATATTATCATGTAAAATACTTTGATAACTGGTAACTAATAAGATTCCATTCTAAATGGTGCACTTTTATGTTAACAGACTATCTCCACCGAGCACTAAAAGATGCAGATTACGAAGGAGATGACATCTTTGTTGGGAGAATTTTTAAAAACAAAGATGACTGCACCACCAAATTAGCCATCCACGCCATGCGTCGGAAGTTTCACTTCATTCATGCAAAATCGTGTCCTACCATGGTGATTGCAGTGTGCGTAGGGAATACTTGTCCGTGGAGGGTATACGCAACAAAACTAGAAGACAGTGAGAGGTTTGAAGTGCGCACAGCAAGTCTACAACACACATGTAGTGTAGACGCCAGAGGTGATTTCCACAAGCAAGCATCAACAGCTCTGATTGGGAAACTAATGAGGACAAGATACGTAGGCGTTGGAAGAGGTCCAAGACCTAATGAGCTGCGAAAAATGCTAAGACAAGAGTTCAGTTTAAATGTTTCCTACTGGAAAGCATGGAGAGCCAGAGAAATTGCAATGGACAATGCCATGGGATCAGCGGCTGGAAGTTTTGCTCTGATCCAGCCATATTTTAGGCTCCTGTTGCAAACAAATCCAAATTCACTAGTGTACTTGGAAACCGACACAGATAACACCGAAGTTACCAGGTTCAAGTATCTATTCTTTGCGCTACATGCATCTATTCAGGGGTATGCATACATGAGAAAGGTCATAGTTATTGATGGAACTCATTTGCGGGGCCGGTATGGAGGGTGTCTGATAGCGGCAAGCGCCCAAGATGCGAATTTCCAAGTATTCCCGCTTGCTTTTGGAATAGTAAACAGTGAGAACGACGATGCATGGACTTGGTTCATGCGTAAGTTGACCGAAGTTGTGCCGGACGATCCAGAGTTGGTGTTCCTGTCGGACAGACACTCTTCCATATATGCAAGCATAAGAAAGGTAAATCAAGTTAAATATTATTCTGGTTAACTTTTATATTACCGTCCCATATATGGATGCTTTTGGCAATGTGATACCTGTAACCAGTACAAATGTTGGAGACCTGGTAGTTAATATAAATTTATAACATTTATAATTATGAAGCACTATAGGTAGCATACAAAAATATAATTATCGTGGTAAGTAAATATAGTAACAGGTAATGTTGTGATTAGTAATTGTTTACTATTTTATTAACTGATAAGTGGAAAAATCTATAAGTTAATGTTGTTTTAAACTTATAACTTACTGTTGTTATTTCCTTATGACAGGTGTATCCGATGTCATCCCACGCTGCGTGTGTGGTACATTTAAAAAGGAACATTATCGCAATATTCAAATCAGATGCTCTAGGAAGTTTGGTGTCAAGCGCAGCAAGAGCTTACCGGTTAAGTGATTTCAACAAAATATTTGCTGAGATACGGGCTATGAACGGGTCGTGTGCAGACTACCTGACCGGAATAGGGTTTGAACATTGGACACGGTCTCATTTTGTGGGAGAAAGATTTAACGTCATGACAAGCAATATCGCGGAGTCTTTGAACAATGTGTTGACAATGGCGAGGGACTACCCCGTAATCTCAATCCTAGAATCACTACGGACGACATTGGTAACATGGTTTGCTCTTCGCCGAGAAGCAGCTCAGCTTGAGGACAACATATTGCCACCAAAGGTAAATGAAATGGTGATTGAAAATTTTGAAAAAGGAGCAGGTAATAGCGTGTTGAAAATAGGGGATGGGCAATATGAGGTTAGAGACATGGAGGATTCAGGATTCGCAGTCCATCTATGGGAAAGGACATGTACTTGTAGGAGATTCTAGCTGCTGACAATACCATGCTCGCATGCAATTGCTGCTGCGATCAGAGAAGAGATCAGAGTAGACACAATGGTGGGAGTGCACCACACAGTCCCTAACCTAAGATTGACTTACCAAGGAATAATAATACCGGTACCCGATATGGATACAATGGCACCATCGCCAAGTGATGTTGGGGGAGGGAAGCTGGCACCACCGTATGTTCGCAGACCACCAGGACGACCAAGAAAGAGACGTTTTTTCTCACGAGGAGAGTACAAGTTCAAGGTAAGGAAATAAACAGTCCCTAACATTTTCAATATTTCCAATAAAATATATGTTACTTTGGTAAACTTTTATTTACTGGGTAATAAATAATATAGAGGACTTCTGGAAAGCGTTGCAGTCGATGTCGTTCTCTGGGGCACAACCGGGCCACTTGCAGAGGCCCAATAACGGTAAATAATGAAAAAATGGAGTTAACTACTGTTTTAACGTACTAACAGTCGACTAACCAAAATGGGCGATTGCAGGAACAATAGAATGTTCGGGAAGATAAGTTTTTTGGCGGCTGACACAAAGGATGGAAGCGTTGGGCAACACAGAAGACCTCAACGGATGTTTTATAAATAAGAAGGCGTTAGAATAATTTTGGTGTATAGGAGAAAGCGGTTTCTAGTGCCTACATATGTATAATTATGTGAGCTGATACCCATCCAAACAATGAAGTCAGTTAATGTTATATAATTAAGAACGTATGGGGTAAACACGTTAAAGGCTAACAATCAAATTGACAATGAATAACTACGTTTTCTAGAAATAAAAACCCAAAAAAGAATGTAAGAATATAAAGTAAATAAAACATATGTACAACATGGTAGACGCTAAAGTAACAAACAACATATCCGTAAACATGAATCTTTCCACTAATATGCGGTAGCCTTAAAAAGCTGTAAGAGTCAATGCACATAAGACAGTCCAATGTAACAAGTAACAAATATAATAAACAGTAACACAATAACGAGTTATAAAATAAGCAAAAGGTTAAAAAACTTATCGGCTAATTATGGTAACGGGTATATATGTTATCGGGTTATGAAAAGGCAGATAAAATTCACTTAGCAAATGGTATATCATTTAGGTAATATAATGATAGATAATTAAGAACATAGCGGGTAACAAACTTAACGGCTAACAAGTGTGACTATTCCTTAAAAAGCTGTAAGAGTCAATGACCAAAACACAGGAAAATGTAACAAATATAATAAACAGTAACACGATAACGAGTAATAAAATAATCGAATGGGTAAATAAGTTATCGGCTAATTATGATAACATGTATATACGTTATCGGGTTATGAAAAGACATATCAAATTCACTTAGCGAAAGGTATATCATTTAGGTAATATATTGATAGGAAATGAAGAACATATCGTGTAACGACATTAACGGCTAACAAGTGTGACTATTCCTTAAAAAGCAGTAAGAGTCAATGACCAAATACAGGAAAATGTAACAAAATATAATAAACAGTAACACGATAACGAGTACTAAAATAAGCAGACTGGTAAATAAGTTATCGGCTAATTATGATAATGGGTATATACGTTATCGGATTATGAAAAGGCAGATGAAATTCATTTAGCAAAATGGTATATTATTTAGGTAGTATAATGAAAGGTAATGAAGAAAATATCGGGTATCGATATTAACGGCTAACAAGTGTGTCTATTGCTAACTACGTTATCCAAATACAACAATGATAACAGCTAAACAAGTTATCTGCTAATGATAAATAACGGGTACATACGTTATCGGGTTATGGAAAGGCAGATCAAAATCACTTAGCAAATGTTATATCATTTAGGCAAAACAATGGTAGATAATTAAGAACATATCGGGTAACGACAGTAACTGATAACAAAGGTGACAAAGGGTAACCACATAATCCAAATATAGGAACCAAAAAAGAAAAAACACGATAACAAACATAGTAATGCGTTTTCAGATAAAAAAGATAATAGAATAGATAACATAACAATTGCGAATAGAGTAGCGGAGAGTTATGATAAGTTTGCAATACGAAACACATATAAAACAGAAAACATTATGAAAAGGCGGGTAAATAAAGATAAGTCTAAGGGACACCAGCGAGAATTATAGCAGACACAAGTTTTTTGGTCTCGGAGACAAGACTGTCAGAGTGGAACTCGGCGCATTGTTCCATCCCACCGGTAGCATGGGCATGAATAAGGAAAATGGACATGAGACCGGAATCAACAGACGACGCCACCTGAGGGATGCAAAGAGACCTTTCAATAGTAAATGGAGAAGTTAAGAGTTGACTCATTTCTGGATTCGCGGCAGCTTGTTTGAATAGCACCGGGAGCATATCCGCAAGGGGTTGGACGTCCAACTTGATAGTTTTGTCGGTGCGCAGATGGACATTGCAATCAAGGACAGTTATCTTCCTGCAATTCAAATCAACAACTAAAGCAACCCAATGCTTTTTTTCAAAGTTGAAAGGCAAGTATAGGTAGTCAACTTCTGAATATAACTGAGCACGGTCTTCAACCCCAGCTGCAGAGACAATATCGATGAGAACTGATGGAAACTGAAATTCCAGAGGCGAAGGAGATTTTAAATACTTTGGATATAGCCGACATAACTGGGAGACAAACTTAGTATCAAGGACATCAACGCGAAGCTTTTCCCCATCTAAGTCGTCTGTCCTCAACAGGTGCCTGCTAAACTTTAACAAGGCATCCATCACCTATGAAGGGTTAAAAATAATAAAACTTATTAGCAGTTAAAAATCGGGTAGCTATGCTACCAAAGTAATGAGGTAATATCTTAGTTAGACAGACCTTGTTTGCCATTGGTTTCTTCCTGTCGACCAATTCAAGAATGTCTTTGCTAGCGAGGGATACCTCACCCCCAAGGGAAACATAACTATATCAGATAACAAGAATGTTAGCATACTAGTAGTGGATAGTAATTGACAATAAACTCTAACTCGAAAGTATAAAAATTAATACAGACCGTATTGCTTTAAGTTTCTTCATAGAATTGTTGAATCGCTCTTCCGGATCAATTGGAGACACGGGTGGTTTGGGAATATTAGCAGGGGAAGGGTGACCCACCAAACCTTTGGTTTTCTTGTCAAACTGAAAACGACCATCAAGCTTGGTAGAAATGGTCCTAAGCCTTTTACTTCTTCGCCACGGAGGGACTGCAACAACACTAGACTGGGAAGCTACCTCCTGCTCTTGTGCTCTTTCCATAGAACCAACAACCTGAAAACGCAAAGTTACTAAAACTGTCATATATGAAGGGAAAGAAGAGTTATAAATTTGAAAGCAATAAAACCTTGGGAGTTGGCAAAGGTTCAGCGGCACATGATAGAGGGGTTAGGGAGGGCACATCAGAGTGAATATCCTAACAGTAAAATAAGCCAAATAGTAAGCTAGCAGGTAATCGCGAAGAGGGAAAATTACCTTCATAGTGTTACCAACTAATAGGAGATAAAACATAATTACCTTCTCAGAGTTGCCTTCCGTAGGGTCATCAGCTTGGGTTTGAGAATCCTGCAAAAACAACGTTCGGCAATAAATTCCTTAGTCCCTATAAAACGAAGGGACGGGTAACATATATATTACAGAAAAACTGAAAACAAACCTCAATAACTCCAACAGAAGATGAAGAATTAACTCTCCCACCAGACTTTTATTATGAGGAAGTAAAACATGTCAGGGGCAACGGGAAACAAATAGGAAACTTGTAATAAAAAAATTTAAAAATTTTTGAAGCGAAAAACCTGTGTAGAATCGCCGGTGAAAGACTCACTAGCACCTTCCTGCTGCCCTTCCTGGAAAAGGAAAAAAATAAATAAAAGAAGAATAGAATAAAAAACTTGGAAAAAAATATGAATAAATTTAAAATATATATTTTGGAAGTGTAAATTAAATGATAATAGGAAACTTATCAGCTAATATTTTTATTTCTGGCTAATCTCGCTGTTAACTTCAGCTACGACGCCAGTGGTAACATGTGGCTCATTGACCTAGAATGTTGATAGGGATTACAATTAATTGATAACAAAAATAATAGCCGTTAACACTCTTATCGGGTTAACATTAATTAGAGTACCTTGGGGTTATCAATCTTTTTACTATTATCAACAGTTTGGAAAAAAAATATAACAAACCCGATAATGATAAAAAAAAATTAGTAATTCGATAATGTGTATACATAATAAAAGAAAAGTAGGAAAAAAAACTTGGAAAATAGTAAGAATGGATTTAAGAAATAAATTTGGGAATAGTAAATAAAATGATAATAGGAAACTTATCAGCTAATATTTATATTTCTGGCTAACCTCGCTGTTAACTCCAGCTACGACTCCAGTGGTAACAAGTGGCTCATTGACCTAAAATGGTGATAGGGATTACAATTAGTTGATAACAAAACTAATAGCAGTTAACACTCTTATCGGGTTAACACTAATTAGAGTACCTCGGGGTTATCCATCTCTTTAGTATTATCAACAGTTTGGGGGGCGACGTCATCCTGGAAAGGGAAAAAAGAAAGACAACAAACCCGGTAATGGTAAAAAATTAGTTATTCGCTAATGTGTATACATAATAATCTACATTATCAAAATGATAATAGGAAACTTATCAGCTAATATTTATATTTCTGGCTAACCTCACTATTAACTCCAGCTACGACTCCAGTGGTAACATGTGGCTCATTGACCTAAAATGGTGATAGGGATTACAATTATTTGATAACAAAACTAAGAGCAGTTAACACTTTTATCGGGTTAACGCTAATTAGAGTACCTCGGGGTTATCCATCTCTTTAGTATTATCAACAGTTTGGGGGGCGACGTGATCCTATAAAGGGAAAAAAGAAAGATAACAAACCCGATAATGGTAAAAAATTAGTTATTCGCTAATGTGTATACATAATAATCTACATTATCGGGTAAAAATTAATTAGAGCACCTCGGGGTTATCAATCACTTTAGTATTACCAACAATTTGGGGGGGGGGGGGGGGCACGTCAGCCTACAAAGGAAAAATGAATGATAACAAATTAGTTAATCGATAATGTTCATACATAGTAATCTACATTGTTAACGAATAACACGTTGGTCGATACCAAAATAATTTTCATCGAACCTCTACATTTATTTGGGGTTTGAAAAACCACAGTTGGACTACTGAGAAACCAATATTTAACAAATCAGGAAAATGGTAAACAAGGAGGAAAGTACCTCAAGATGACCAGATTGTTTAACAATATCATCAGCTGGGGTGTGCTGGTTGTTGGCAACCAAATCCTAATCCACAAAAATAAGTTCTAACTTATCACCATCAAAATTTATAAGTTACCAGATAATAAAAGAAAAAACAACTAACCAAATCATTGCCGGTACAAGTGCCAACCAAGTTAACCTACAGAAACGGGGACAACAGTTAAGGGGCAATGCAAGTCAAAAAGGGTTCAAATATTGAAAGGTAACAACAAGCATAACGGCTAACCTGTTGATTACCAACATAGACTTCTTCCTGATTCCGGGTAAGAGGATCAACATCCATAGAAACTACGCCAGTATCATCACAAGGAGAGCTTCCGTTATAAAAAGCAACCACCTCTTCGACGGATGCATCGAATCCCAAATTCACGGCGTCTGCTTCCCCCGAAGGTTTTGGGTGCTGAACACCACGTTTTTTCCGACCTGTGGCCGCGCTGCGAGAAGGGATGATGTCAACGTTTTCAGAGTTAGCTACAGTACGATCTCCAGCCTTCGGATCAGATCCCACTTGCTCAGCAGATATTGTGTTTTTCATAAACCAATTAGTCACAGCCTTTATAATCCGTTTCTCAGAGGCAGCAAGTTTATCATCAAACATACGAGAGAGCGCAATCATGTCAATAGGTCCATGCCCACCATCCTCATCGACATCCCCCGAATTTTGAGCACGTCTAACACCAGTAGGATTCCTAGACCTCTTGGCCTGTTTCCTAACCCGACCACCTTTCACTTTAGCACCTCTCTTTTGTTTTTTTGGAGCAATAGAAATTTGAGAAGGGATGCAACCACCAGGGAACATATCGTTATTGAACTTGAAACCTTGCTCAGCGAGCTTAACCAAGGTATCGACTCGCGGATCTTCTTCTTCATCAGACCACGAAAAGTCTTCATCAGCCTCAATTTCGACATCAGGAAATATTATGGGTTGAACATGAGTCTGGTAGGAGAAAAAGATGGTAATTTTATAATTAGTTGATACTGCGATAACAAAAATAATATGAGATAATCATATTAATATTCAGATAACAATCAAGTTAGTACCTAGCAGGAGAAAAAGGTGAAAATCTCAAAATTGTTTGACTTTGCGATAACAACCAGATCATGGGATAAAAATATTATTAAACGGCTATAAACCAAGTTGGTACCTGGCATTTTCTATCCAACTCTTTCGCGTTACCAAGCTTGAAGGGAACAACCTGACGCGGGGAGTTCTCAATCTCCGCCACTTCCTCAGACTCTGAACCAACAGTCTCCTCAAGTACAGGACCTTCTTGAATCGCAGGAACTGAATGCAGAACAACAAGCTGGAGGGCGTATAGTAGGCCTTGGACCGCCACCGAAGCAGTGGCAAGCTGTTCAAGTTCCCTCTCCTTAATCGAAGCCATCATCATCTCGAAAGAAACCCGACCCCATGGATACGAAAGAAAAAATGTTAAATTTTCAGACATCTCGGCGTGCTCTTTCGAGATTTTTGGATGATGGGAAGTGGGAAGCAGAAATCCATCTACAAGGGCAAGACAAGCATACCGTATCCGCAACGAGGGGTCGTCAACTGCCTTTGATTTTAGAATGGTGATAACTCGATCGACGGTAACATCGGATTCAAGACCAAATAGAGTACTGTAGAAAGGAATCTCTTTTCCGGCTGTCCCCTTCTTCTTTTTTTTTGGAAGCGGCGGATATCTCCCGCATGGAAGTCGGGTTACAAGATAGAATTCTCTCAGCGAAAAACGAATCGGCGTACCAGCGAAGATAACCCAGATCTCATTTGATTTAGAAATATCCAACTGGCGGCCAAGGAGAAACAGGCCAAAACTAGCGGACCACGCCGGCTTGTTCGGGAAGTCGAGTAATCCGGCGAGAGAAGAATCCCTGATGAACGTAATCTCATCATCGTCTAACGCATCAAAAATCCCTCTCAAAGTTTTCATCTTGTTGTAAACATTTGCCCTCTCCCCAAGCGGTACTTCACCGGCGGCAATAAGCCGATGAGGAAGTTCTGGATCTTCCATATGAAAAAACAAACATTCGTTACACCAAAAACGAAGAGATAAACAAACAGATCCGGAAAAAGAAATACGAAAGACCTTCGCCTATGAGAAACTCACGATGAGATGTAAAACCTATCGAAAAAGAAATTGGAAACCACCGCCGCCGTTATACACCGCCTTTGTGTAGGAAATAAAATGAAGTTATAAGACCGGCGTTAAAAAGAAATCAATGAACTCGAGAAGGAATGCACCTGGGTTTTATAATTCATAGACTCAAAAAATTGCGACTCTTCCCTTTTCCATATTTATTTTCTCTGTTAGTTTCCATAAAATCTTTAAATTGATATCTACAAAGATATGGCATATCAACACACTGACACACGTAAATCTCTGACCCTATTTTCTCTCTCTTTTACGACACTAGAACTATAGGGGTTTATTGGTCTGAATATCGACGGCTGAATAGGACATATAGTGTCAGTTAATTATAAAGTTTTCCATTGCTACCGCGTGCAAATACCCTAAAGCTAAGTTCACACTATAATAGTGCATAACGTTCAAAACCGGCAATTTCACGGCACTCCGCCGCGAAGCATGCGATACCTACTCCCAATCTTTCTCCTCTGCATATTCTTCATAATCTCTAAGCATACTTTATCAACCATGGCAAGAAAATCTCTAACAATAACAAATAGATGAAGAGGATTCCCTTTGTAACAGCTTCTGCTTGATAATAATAATCTGTTGTACATTTCACAAGCTCCAGACTATATGCACTATATTTATACTGGTATGTTACATTTTCAAAAATATAGGGTTGCCGCAAAGAATATTCGGTAAATTATTCTAGAAAATAAAATCTAAACTAAAAAAAAAGATTACGACGGCAATCTATCCAAATTAAATGGCATAGTAATTTGGATAGTATTAAACTCACCAAGTTAAATATAGAAAATATGAAAATAAATTTTTTTACGATATATATAATATCGGCAATACCAGTAATCATGTCAATATATTCATATTTATGAATAGTTTTAATTGTAACAAAGAAGTTACCCTATAAGTATAAATATTCCGCAATTAAAGGATTCCGAATATTGTTTGCCACATCATCCGTTTTTTGTTTGATTTTCACTTTAATGCTGGAATTTTTTTTGGCATAATTACTCAAAGATCCGATTGATGAATTTGCGGGTTATTTTTTCAATTTTTATTCTAACCCAACCCAAGTACTTTTGTATTTCTCTTTTAATAGTATAGAGATAATTCTTGTGATTTAATAAAAACAAATATCAAAGTGTAGCCAACACACTTAGGTAAATACACAAATCTAGAACTAGAAGGCATGGTGAGCAACCATCACTGGTGGGGAAGCTAGTCCAAATGATAGACAAGAACATCCGAAACCGGCTGATCACAATCCGGAGTAGGGGGACTTCAAATACGAAGGCGGTCTTCAACTGTGGTTTGGATCAAGACAAGCTCAAGACTAATTTCTTTATGTTAGAAACTATTTTATAAAAAGTATGCATTAAGTTGTAAAACATGTTTTCTCTCTTTTTTTGAATATAATTTAACATCTATTAGAAAAAAACACAAATCTTACTTTTAAAATTTGGTTTCTACAAATTTGTGTAAGTAACTTCTTCTTGGGAGAACCGGAGATCGACAGTCGAGATGATCACCCAAAATTATGGAAATCAGGAAGATCGAGAAGGATTTAGAAGTTATCATATCATAAGTTTAAGAAATTTAATATTATCTCTAAATATATTATTTATATTTATATTTATCTTAGATTAGGAAATCTCATCTCTATATAAGAGAATGTAATTTATACCTTTAATCTTATGAGAGTCTAATTATAATTCTTCCTAAATGTTCTTACTCTCATCAATTTATCATGGTATCAGAGCATGGATCCAAATCCTATGGGTTAAGGTTCGTTTGCTTCCACGATTACCCAAAAAAATAATTCTAGTTTCTTTGACCTAACGTCGCTTGCTTCTTACGCAAGCTTCGATCTTTGATTTTATCATCTTTGTTCTCTCGTAAAATACATAATCCCATTGGTTTGTGTACCTTGCTTTACCCACGATTATGGAGATTTCATAATTGTTTACTTCAAAAAAAAAGAAAAAAAAAAGGTGAAGAAGAAGGAAGGCATGAGACGTTTTGGTGGATATGACCAGGAACCGGGTTCGTTTGGTGATGATTATGCTTAAGCATATTGGTGGCTTATTTTATTAATTCGGCTAATGATGGGCCAAATTCATTTTGATTTTGGCTAGCAAAGTGGCTAGTTTCTTGAAGACCAAGATATTGGTTTATGAACATGGACTTATTGATGAGTTCGTTCAATCTTTGGCAATGATGATGTTTTCTCGCCTTTTGACATCTTCTTTTGATTAAACTTCTCGCCCTTGTGAGTTGTTTTTTTAGTCTCGCCATCACGAGTTACATCCGAATTTCGCAATCGCGGGTGTTATTTTCTATTACTTGAATCCTACGATCAGGTATAAACGTCGATGATCCAACGACTGTATTTTATAGCCGCTTTGAACCCTACGATCGGGTATAAAAATCGATGATATAACGGCTGGGTACTGTAGCTGCTTTGAACACTACGATCGGGTATAAACGTCGATGATGACCCGACGGTCGGAGATAAAGCCGCTATTCTGAAGACTTTTCCAATCTCACACGTGTTACCACGTATAAGCTTGCTGGGGGTATTGGAAGAACCGGAGATCGACCGAGATTGACGGTCGAGATGATCGCCCAAAATTATGGAAATCATGAAGATCGAGAAGGATCTAGAAGTTATCATATCTTAAGTTTAGAAAATTTAATATTATCTCTAAATATATTTTTTACACTTATATTTATCTTAGATTATGAAATCTCATCTCTATATAGGGGTGTCAAGTTGGTTAAACCAAACCAAACCAACCCATATCCATATTGATTTAGTGTTTAATGGTTAATGAATCAATCCAATTCATTTAGCAAATGGTTTGGATTAACCCATAACTCATTTAAATGAATGGATTAATGGATTTAATGAGTTGATCCATAACATAGTTTTCTTATAATTTAAATCCTAATTAATTGATAATTAGTAATTATCATGTTACCACCACCATCATCATCATCACTCCATCATCATCTTCATCACTCCATCGTCATCAATTCACCACCATCATCATCATCATCACCATCACCGTCACCGTCACCATCACCGTCACCGTCGCCGTCGTCATCGTCGTCGTCGTCGTCACCGTCGCCGTCGCCGTCGCCGTCATCGTCACCGTCGTCATCACCGCCGTCGTCGCCGTCGTCGTCGTCATCACCGCCGTCGTCACCGCCGTCGTCGTCTGTCATCGTCATCGTCATCATCATCAACTAATTTGATCATCACTCACCATAGCGAAGTTCCGTCATAGAGTGTAGTCGAAATTGTCACTATCAATGCCATCGAAATACTCGTATCTATGATTATTGGTTCATAAATTGATCACAAAAAAGGTTTACGCTTGCAACACGGTTACACTAACGCAATCGACAGTTCGACACGATATCCCAAAACGACGACCAAAGACTCCATGAATGGCGGTGAGGGATTCGAGTGTCAGTGGCTTTGCCGGTGAACGGCGTTGTTGGCTTCGTCGTTTAACATTGTTGATGGATTTGCCGGTGAAACCATAAGATTGAGAGAGATCGACAGTGAGAGATTTGACGCCGAGAGAGATCGATGGTTAAGCGATTTAAGAAAATTATGTTTGTTTCGGTTTACTAAAATCGGTTTAGCTATTCAATTTAGTTATATTTGGTTTATATATTTGATATTCAATTATTTAATTTTTATTGGTTTGGTTATGGATAACCTATTAATCCATTTTAACCAAACCATTTCAATCCAACTCATGAAACTCAATAAACCATTCAATCCACTAATCCATTAATATCCAAATTTTCAACTCATTAGATCCATGAGTTGGATTGGTTTGGATTGATCCATCAATTTTAAACCATTTTGACACCCCTATCTCTATATAAGAGAATGTAATTTATACATTTAATCTCATGAGAATCTAATTATAATTCTTTTTAAACACATTTGTGTTCTTACTCTCATCAATTTATCACTTCTAACACACAAACAAATAAAACAGAACCCTAGACACAATTACTACAGCCTATAGCCGACGAACATACCTGTAGTAATTGAAAGATTAGGACCACGAGACCAAGAATGGAGAAGTTGTCGGAGTAGAAATTACTCAACTGACACTACGTCGATTTCAGCCGTTAAGATATGGAGAAGAAATGGATGAAAGAGTTTTCTTTCATTAGTTAAAAAATCAAGGTTCTTAGTTTTTTTTTTAAATCTCATTTTAACAAATAAAAAACTAATGGATAGTTCTGATTATTATAATGTAAAACCAATTGAAAATGAATCGTTTTAGGCAAAAGGTATGATTCAAGATTCACTACTTGTATTAATGTTTTAAAAAAGAAAAACACAACAACAAAAACAAAAACAAAAACAAAAACAAAGAAACAAAGAAGCTAAAAAACAATTAAAAAAAACACAAATGATATAAAGTCAAAATCATTCGTTAAAAGAAGTAGAATATATCGCCAACTTGTACTCCAGAAACTGGACCAATTCTCCGCATCAAAACCAAAATCAACTATCTCTTCGTTTGCCGTATCTCTCTCCACTTCAGTTCTCCTTGAATCAAAATTCGGACAAGATATAACCTTTCTGCTGTTGGGATCATCTGTTTTAGCTTCTCCGGCCCGGTCGTTGAATAGAGAGAAACGGAGAAGTAAGAAGAAAATTACGAAAAGGAAATGGTCGAAGATGCAAAACTATAATGGTTTATGATTTGAGAGTGAAGAATAAAGTTAAGATAATCTTCTATTTGTAGGCAATTATGATATATGATGTGTCATTGTTTACAAGAAGAATGATAGCCGTTAGATTCATCTGTACCGTCCAATTTTGAGTCATTTAAAACTCCTAGATTTTTTTCTATGTTAATTCAATGTATCTTAGACTACCAATTAATGTTTAAACACTTTTGTCTGAAAAAATAATTAACATAAATGTGAAATATCTTTACTTTCCCTTTTTAAATATTATTTTCTACATATATGCAATTTATTCAAACTATCTTTAAGAAGTTCAATGGTTTGAACTATATACCCCTAAAAGTATTAAGTATTATACAC